ACATTTCCGAAAGCACTGAGACTATTGATGATAATATTTTGGACAAAGAAGAGTTCAATGACGAAGAGAGTCGAGGTTAACAGACATTTAATTAAATTTAGTTTATATATTGTTTAGAACTTATTTTCTCCTTTTAGACATAATACAGTCTAAGTCAACCCATCAACATGATTTACCACCCAACTGTATTGATATGATTGGAAAGTTGCTTATGAAAGCAACGGCTGGAGTGCACAAATCAGTGGATCTTGTTGAATCCGAAACAATGTTTACGTTACTCAAAGCAGTACGATTTTATGGTGGTAATAATAATTTTTCAACAGCTCTGACTAATATTATTTTGTGAGTATATATAAATATGGTCTAAAGAAGTTCTAGAATATTCTAAGTATTTTGTCAATTAAGGTATCGAAATTATTGTAATTTATATTCTTATGCACGACTAGTGCGTGTAACGATTTTTCGCAGATGAGTAGTTTCAGCACTTAGTTTGGTTGCACATATGGCTTAAATCTTAAGAAAATTTAAGATTTAAGCCATATGTTTAAAAGTTTTTAATGTTCTTCATTTTTTGAGTGTTGTTACTTAAGTATTAATTTTATGAAAGAACAGTTATGTATATAATATATTACAACATGTTAAATTAACTTATGATTTTGATAATTTATGAGAAATACAGAAAATTCTGGAACTTTTTAATCTAGCAGCCCATATTATCAGCGATATTACAACATTTTTATTATTTAGAGAAACAAGATTTTTTGTGTGTGTAATACAAATCGGAATTATACAAGAAATACATAAGTTGTTCGAGACTGAAGAGGTAAGTAAAAATATACTTCTCAAAACCATTAGTCTATATTTTTAAATTTCTCTACTTATAGTTACACAAAGATGCTTTAAGTTTTTTTGAAACACTCACTTGCGTTGGGGAATCTAATTATGGAAAATCAGAACTTGCACGCTTGCTGAAATTCGGCGATCCTAGTTCACAAGCGAAAGCTGCAATTGCTACCGCCTACGTCATAAAGAGTAACCGTTTATTACAAACATTCCTTAATGAGGGCAATGTACTTAAAATACTGTTTGACAATATTCTAACCGAAAATTCCACAGAACTTGCCAGTGAAGCTGTAAATGCTTTGACTTTTATGTGCATTAACACACTTGATATTTCAAGACAAAACGGTACTACGTTGAGTGACTATGAACTTTATAATGAGAGAACTGAATCACTTTACGACAAAGATATGATATTTCAGATTTCAAAATCTGAGGATAATTCTATTGTGGAAGTACCATTTAATAAAAAGTTACTCTGCGATGCCAGTGACGTATTTAACTCAATGTTACATAGTGATTTTCGTGAAGGTAATGAGGGAAAAATTAGTCTAACAACAGCCACTGTTGGTGGATTAAAATACTTTTTAAATCTTATCGTTCGCATATCTCAACAGCAAAAGTTAACAATCCCAAGCGCGAACAAAGATAAGTTCTTGTTAGAAGCTTTCGAAATGTCTCGTATATATATTATACCAACATTGGAAACTGAATTGCTTAATATGTTGTTTAGCACCATGGATCCGACAAGTTGCTTAAGTCTTTTCGAATGGTCTATAAAGAACTATCATGTTACACTCATGGAGGAAACTATAAATTATTATTTGTGCGCCAAATTACCACCAGAAATAAAAGTAAAACTCTTTTGTGACGCAAATAATTCAACTTTCAAGAAAGAATGGAATAATATGATCAGGGATACAATACTAGATCGATTCTAATTATTAGGTAATCAATGAACTATAGAGTCTTGTGACATATGGATGACTTTAAAGTTTGACAAAGCGAATGTTACCGCTTAGTATTCGTTACTATTTTTTTGTAAATACGATGCATTTATACGCCATATAATTACTATAAGTATAGCTTATAAGTGGCAATGGGTCTGCTAGACGAAGAAGACTAGATTTTTCGAGCAATATACTGGTGAAGGCATAAGCGGTGAATCAGCATTTCAGAAGTGACACATTCAATGCTTTTGTCAATTGCAGTTGAGTTTGAGTTAGGTTATCATCCTATAACTTCCATAACGCCTGTAGTTCGTACTTTTTTTATCTACCAGAGCGCTTACTATTTTTCAAATAGAAATCCTCACTTTTTAATTGTCGAATATTATAATTGACAAATTTAAATTGTCATTCTGGATATTATGGTGGTTAAATGCCAATGCTGACACTAGATCTAAAGGTCATTTTCAAGTGCGATTAGTCCACTAGCGCGAGTGGTGTGCTTTTCTTTATTTTTTTAAAGAATAGAAAATAAAACGAAGGAAGTTATTACGAAGAACTTCCCGAAGATTAGTTGGTGCAGCGTGATACTTGTAGTCCTGCAATTTGATTTTAAATTTTCTCAAAATGTTGCACTTTTTTATCCCTATTCCATAAATAGTATTCGCATATATATTTCTCATATATACTATATCTTTCTATACATGCTCACTCTAGCGAATTTAGTCTCATTTACTGGATGTGACAATACTGGAGATTTTCGAGCAAATTGGTTTACATTATGAATTGTAGACGATCCCTAATCCTATATACAATTTGCGTACATTTATTAATATGCTACCATGGATACAAGCTCGCTACCAAACTGTGTGTTCTAAAAACCAAGAATAAAATCTAAAAAAACATATTTATTCTCTTTGTCACGTATACGTAAATAAATTGAAAGTCACTGAAGGTGCAAGTCACAGATTTATGTAATTTGTATATAAACGACGGATTATGCGTGAAGCTAAGAAAAAAATAACTGGATCGTATAAGTAAATACATTGGAAGTGTAAAGAAGCTTATTTTATTGTTGATCTACGGACTCTCAATTATAGGAGTGTCATTAGATTTGTTAATCATTTGTGATCTTAGGCAATTATAGCGTAACAAAACGATTGTTTAGTCTTTAAATGAAACAATGTCACATGTTAAATATTTAGTAATTTAGTAATAGTTAAACTGTAAGAGAAACAGCTTTAGATAATAGTGTTTTATGTTTGAATAAAATTCAATGCAATTAAACCACTTGTATCATTTCAAACTAGAGAAAATACTAAATACTTTTTATAAAGGCTGCTTCATATTAGGTACTCTAAAGGCAGGCTTTACATGAAGCAGCCCTTTGCAATGAAGCATTTATACTGAGTTTTATGGGACTGTAAACTCGTGAATTGTTGAAAGTGCTTAGCATGAACAAGCCTTTATACTAATTATTTGGAACCCTAAGTGAAAATTTTGCAAATTTTAGTTATTATAGATTCTGGTTTGTACTTTCAAAAGTGAACGTAAATAAAACATACCTGCGATTACGAGTATGATTGAATTTTTATTTCAATATAGTGTTTGGCTCTTGCAATGAAGTGTGAAATACATCATTAAAAACTCCTGTATGCGTTATTTTACAGTACTGGATATTTTTATTGTAATTTCCGAAGATTTGTCAGCAAACAGTTGGCAACACCTTAGCCATTAATTCACGGATGTATTTGTTTTAATAAAAATCTAGGATTGTCTTCATAATTATGATTCTTTCAGTAAATTTACAAAAAATAGCTAAGTGGTGACAAATCGTATCCTCTTAGGGGTCAATTTGCATCACCAATCACACGCCTGGTAGACTTTTTTTTGCAATAAAGCCAAAACGGGATCGCTTGGAGCACCATCATATTGAAACCTTGACTTGAATTCCAAATTCTAATTTTTAATTCTACATCAAAAAAAAGGGCAATTATGTGGCAGTAGCGATCAGATCTGATGGCTTGTGTCAGATATTAGTCATTATCAAAAAAGTACGGGTCCCATCACATCCTCAGATCAAATACATCATAGATTGACTTTCTGTTGATGCAATTGTATTTCCAAAGTTTCTTTTGGCTTTCATTGCCCTATATGCGACAATTTTATTTGTTGACTATTAAGTTTTCCTCAGAAATGTGCATCACTTTTCAGGAAAATTTGTTTCGAAAAGTCGTCTACACTTTTGTGGTAAGCGGAAAGTGTAAGTGTAGTAATTGTAAAATTTAAACAAGTTCAGCGGTTGTCAAGCTTTAGATATTGTGAAATGACCAATTCCAAATTCGGCATATAATGCCTTGGATGAAAGTTTTGTTTGACAGTGGTGTCTAATCAGAACCACGAATTTTATAATCTAACGTAATTTTGTGCTGTACTGTAACTCAATATATGCATCAAGAGCAATGCTATGGATTTTTAAGGATTTAACTCGTGCTATGGCTTGTCGTACTATCTCGGTACCATTGGACAGAAAGAATAATCTTGCTCTTCTTACCATGTTTGACTGCCCTTAATAAAGGATAATAAGCATGAATAGTGAGATTTGATATGATAAGAAACGATTTAATAAGGTATAAAGCAGCATTAAGGCACATGTCAAGATTAATTTATAATAACTGATCTGGTTAGGTGTGATGTGTATTTCTTTCAGAGTGATGAGGTCTTTTGAAAACCACATCACTATAACCCCGAAGAATGAAAGGGTATATCTTTATCATACAAATATATGGATCGTTGTATACAGTGATTAATTGTTTGTTTTTGGGGTATTAATTCCATTTGTGGTTTTATGGATGTGATGATATGAGCTGCATTTATAATATGATTATAATATAAAACTTATAAAAATTAACCCGAACTACAAACTATTTTTCACAAGACAATATTAAAAATATTAATTTTTGTATTATTATTTTATTTCAAAAATGTAATTATTATCAATAGCTTAATTATAAATTTCTATAAATTTTTTTTATTTTATATTTTACAAATTAATAAAAATATTTATATACTGCAGCAACAAAATTTTTTTAAAAAATAAAGAATATTAAAATTAAAAATTCAATACAATTTTTATTATTATTTGTCTACGTTTAGCATTACTTTTCCAATTTTTTTTTTATTAATTATTTACTATTTAATCAATTAAGAAATATAGAATAAATGATAGAAATAAAAATATAAGAATTAAGAGCAAATTGTAAAAACATCACAATCACAAGGTTTTCAATTTGAATAAAAGTGCATGTACAATTATTTATTTTCTTTCTCATTTAATGTAAATAAATTTTAATTAACAATAACCAAAGATTCGGCACGGGCGGCACAAGAGCATGAAAATAGGAAAACTGTTCAGCAATAAACATTACATCATGTACATGTATATGTTTTTATCAAATATCGCGTTATAATTAAAGTAAAATTAATTAGTTTAATTTTATGCTAAATTTCAATAAAAATTTTCAAAAATATTGAAAAAGTTTGCTAATTTTTTGCTTTTGCTTTTGCTTTTGTTTTTTTCATTTTTCAAATTTAATATTTTGTAGCTCAGCTTTGTTATTTTAAATTTTTTTGTTATTTTTTCTTTTTTGATGTTTTTACTTAAGATAAGTTCTATTATATTTATATATTGTATTTCGTAATATGTATAATAATTATTTATGTATACGTATTTATTTAATTGTGTTTATGTTATTTTCGGCGCCATTATATTTGTTGTTCTCGATATTCTTTCCTGGCTTCTGGCTTTAAGATACCTACTCTGATCTAAACGTGATTGCATATTCGTTATTTGTTCTTTAAAAGTTTTCCACTGTCACCTATTTCATTAGCATTGGCAGCTATCAACGTTTCCAGGGCGATTATTCCTATCAGCATTAAGGCGAATTTGATCAGGAAATTCATTATAAAGTTCAACCTTTAAATATAAATAATTTATTTATATATATGAAATATTCAATTGAAAACAATGAGTAAGTATTACTCACCTCAGCTTCCTGAGCGAGTGCATTCTTAGCAATAGTTTGAAAGGCTAATTCCACATTTATACCTTCCTTCGCTGATGTTTCAAAATAAGGTATATCATTCTTTGACTGACACCATTGTTGCGCTCTCCTTGTTGAAACCTAAAAATAAAAACAAAAATTGTAAAAATATATTAACAGGTGGAAGGTTTTGTAGTCATTACTGTATATTTAGTCTTAATATTTAGAAAAAAAAAAGAGCAAAGTAAGGAGTATCGGTTTCAATCGAAGCAGACTACTCTGATCATGGTAAAGGAGAGTGGATTAGGAAATAAAAAAATAGAGTTACATATAAATTAATAAACTTCAATTCAAAGAAAAGGAAAGAAAAGCCATCGTAGCTGATGACTCTTAAGAGTTTCAAAAAATGGTCGGGTTTACAATCCGGAGCCACTCGTCAATCACAACGACCTAGTCCCGTTCCTCACCTCCCAAAGGGAAATCCCTATAAGCAGATCCGAGCAGGTCACAACAACAGCTCCGACTGAAGTCTAATTATACGAAATCCAATAGTACAAAAGTTGTTGTTCGTGCCTCAGACTTTTGTAAATTCTATCTCTGGTGGTCCTTTAGGCCTGGCGTATGGTCAGCGTCTCATTCGTGGTACTACAATAAGCCATTATTTGTATATAAGTGAGTTTTGGTGCACAAGGTTTGGAGTGGCAAGCTAACATAAGTATAATTCTTATGATTAAACGTAAATTTAAATTTACTACCTTAAACTTAAATTTACTCAAGAAGGTAGAAAACTTGATAACTAGAAAGACATCTGTAAGGTTACAGGCAAACTAATATAAAAAACAAATAAAAAAATACAATAATAAAAAAAGCAATAAATAAACAAAACAATAATAAAAAAAAACAAAGAAGAAATAGAAAGAATTATAAAAAAAAATGTAATAAATTATAAAAACTATAAAAAATTTGTGTAATTCAATTGAAAATCAATAGTCAAATCACATTTGGAGTTCATGCATATTTCACTATTTTTTTGGGATTAATCAAAGCTATTATTTAACTAATACATATGAGTTGTTATAAATAATCAATTTTTAACTAATCATTCAACAGATTGCGTCATAAATAAATATGTTGTTATAATCAATTAGTTAAGAATGAGAGGAAGGGTTGTTTGGATAAAAGATGTACAAGGGGGTGTATGCGGTTTAGTAGGAACTAGTCTAGGTCGAGTTGGCCCTTTCAATGAGACATAGTTTAGTAATCAGTATATTTAATACGTGCATTACGGCAGGACAACAATTGGGTGACGTCATGGAGATCAGATAAGCATTGATAATGATGGTGTACGCTAAATATAGAAATTTCTACTACAAAAGGTTATAATAAAAATTATTTAAATGAAATTGACCACAACAATTATTATTTAAGTATAGAAAAAAAAACATGAACTATTAACTCCTTCAAAAATAACGATTAATTAGACATATTAATTGGAATTAATGATACATATTTTGTACAAATCAGTATCAGCTCTTCGAACTGTATAATTGGGAATATGTGCCATTAATGATTAGCACAATGATGTTAACTTTATTTAAAAATAGTTATGTTATTAATACTAACATGAAGAGCAAATGCTGAGTTATGAAATTAAAATTTTTGTTTTTAAAATCAAGTTTAGATCTGCACGTATTTTGTCTGTTTAAACAAATAATTTGTGTCATATATTATTAACAAAAGATACAGTCAGTTTGCAACACATTGACAGATATATCGGACTAACTTTATATGTTTTATACCGCCTATATTTCTGATGTGGTTCAATGATTCAATGGTCCGATATAACTGAGCCGGTTCAGGTTAAATTATGTTTAATTATAATTAAACTATTGAAGGAAAGTTTTTAAAAAAAAATACATATATACGTTGTCATATCTTGCTTGTAACCCATTGGTACAGATATGGAATTTACAACACTAACATTGTGAATATTCCAGATACCAGAAACCAGATAGCTTTAATAAACTGAAATAATTTATTAAAATACAGACAGTAAAATCATGAAAACAGTTTTTAATATTTTTTGAACTTTACAAATAGAGACTAAGCTTGTTTCTGACTTCAGGAAATTAATTTGATAATGCAAAGTTCAAATTTAATTGTGCAGTAAAATTGCACAATAAAAAATTGTTTTAGTTTTCTAAGAAACTTTTAAAATATAATAAATTATTTAATTATATATTTCATTTAAAACGCTTTTGTTTGCATTCTCTGTTGTTTTGCATATAACAAAAGCTGCAAAAACAAAAATATCCAAAATTTCTGTTAAGATAAGATACTGACTATTAAAAAAATTGATAATATATTCGTTTGGCTTTACTTACTTGACGATTATCTAAATCCAATTTATTTCCAAGAACAACAAATGGAAAATGTTCAGGGTCTCTTGGACTTGCTTGTATCAAGAATTCGTCACGCCATGAGTCGAGATTTTTGAATGAGTTTGGTGCCGTAACATCATAAACAAGTACACAACAATCTGCACCTCTGTAGAAGGCAACACCTAATGACTGGAAGCGTTCCTGACCAGCAGTGTCCCATATCTAAAAAGTTCCAAACATGTTAAACGTTACTTTAAGCAATATTTTATTAGGGGATGTATAGACTTACTTGCATTGTCACCACTCGGTCATCGACAACAACTTCTTTTGTACAGAAATCAGCACCAATTGTGGCTTTGTATTGATTTGAGAAGCGTTTATTTACATATTGATTCATTAGCGATGTCTTGCCAACGCTACTATCTCCCAGTATGATGACTTTAAGCAAAGACTTCTTGCGTGTCGACATAGTTAAGATTTTTGTTTATTTATAAATGGAAAGATTTATAATTCCAATTCTAATGCAAAACTGAAATGAAGTTTGTTTTTCGTAAATATTAATGTAAACCTTTAATCCCGTTGTTTTGTTATATAAACAGAGTAAAACGGAAGAAGTGTAATTGTCAATTAATTTTTAAGTTTGATAAAACTACATGACCAATCAACCAGTGAGTCATGAAGTGATCAGTTCAACAAAATAAAAACAACAAAGAGTAAATATAAACAAAATGTCACTGAATCATCAAAAATTATTATCAAAAGTCTGAAAAGTCGACAGTTTGTAAGCTAATAAATATATAAATTTTTTTTTTTTATTAAATATTTAATAACAATGAAGGTCTTTGTAAACTAATATTTACTGAAAACCAAGAAGCCTTACGCTTAGTGTATTAGTACCAGCATATTTACAAATTTATTTCCAGCCAAATTAGAGAATACAAATAATTTCCCTATCAATAATCTTTTAATTAATAAAAGAGGAATTTAGGTCTGGGGTCAAGCGCGGATTGTGTTCTTATCACGACATGAAGGCGTTCATTCGCTTAAACCAGCGTCAACCAACTCTCAAAAATAAAATTCAGAAATTTCCTCTTGTTTTAGTGCTAAAAACAGATAATTCAATAAGTATCCGATTTTCAAACGCTAATTAAATAAATTATTTTTAAAATTCCAGCTGCGTCACTTTTTCCATTATTTTGTCAAATCAGCTGAAAACGTATTTGAAAAAAGGTAACATCACTGGTTTTCTCCGCACACCGCCCCTTAAAAATTATTTGCCATAAACTAGTATTGGTGCTTCAATGACTTTTTCAATTAGTTGAGTAACAATTTTCTACATCGTTTTCTACAACTTTGCAGTCTGCTTTGACTTACAATTAATTTTTTTTATATTTATCTATAATAGACTCCTTTGCATCACTTTAATAATTTCAATAATATAAAATATGTATGATTTTTCAAATATATTTAATTCTTATTGAACAAAGTAAAAACTGGAATTCGAGGATTATTTTCACAAACAAAAAAACGAGACTACGATTTTTAAGGCGAAGCAATACATAAAAAGGAACGCGATTGACGTAAGTTGATGTTTTGCAGGTGTGGTGAATTAAAAAATGGGGAATATATTGCCAGATTAATAAACAAAACATTGCAAACGACACACTATATCACGTGCAAATAA